ATTGCTTCCTATCAAAGAGTAGTAGTAGTAAAATTTGTAACTTTTCTTTTCAAAATCCATATAATACTATTTATTTATTCAAATCGTTTGCAAATTAACACTCAAATGCCTACATTTTTCTTTTAGTTTTAATTTTTTTTAATTTTAATGCTATGGTATAACATTAGACTGTATTAACCGATTCATAGATTTCATAACATTAGTTATCAGATATGTCTGGTGATAGCTATATTTAATATATTTTCACTATTTTAGACAATTAAAGCCTAATAAAGTTATCACGTGGTTGAATCATACTGCAGCTATATTAGTAGTATAGTTGTAGCACCAATGGGCCGGCTCGACCGGAGAAGGACCACGCTCTCACAGAATACCAGCGTAAAATAGCAGCTTCAAGCTGCTGTGTTTCGTGTGGTGAGTGTGGAGAACCGTAGACCCTTTTTACTAGAAAGGAGGCATTCCATCTTAGTCCTCACGAATGACAACGCATCTGCATTTTGATAACCTTTCATAAAATTTTCTTCATAATCGAGGATAGACGTAGATGTCTATGGGTCACAGCAACCAATTACCATCAGATGGGCTGTGTGCTCGTTTGTCGTCCTTTCCCTATAAAAACCCTAGAGCATGATTATAATTTTATTAAAATTATAATTTGTATGATGTACCTTCTTGGACCTCGAACCAACCTACTTGGACCTACAAGAACAAAATAATGTCCTCTATATTATGACTAAACTATATTAACTAGTTCAAGCTTTTTTTTTTATTTTATTACTGTGATGTATGTAGAATGGGCCCGCAACAATTTGTGACGGACCCATAATATATTTAAAAAATGCTTTCCAATCATTTTATGACATTTTTTTTAGTCAGTTGTACGTAGTACGTAGTTGTACGTAGGCCTGTCAAAAGTTGGAAGGAGTTGCTAAGTCACGAAAGCGTGGCAGATGCTCGCGATCACTGTTCTGTATCCTTTCGCAGCTCCAATGCAACCGTCATTAAATTTGCTCAATTATTATAATTCTGGAAAAGTTTTAGCGGTAGTTTCGATATCTGATCAAATAAAAATGTATTTTGTCGTTTCATTAAAAGGTTTCGCATTTTATTTAATTTGATACACACGAAAATTAGTCTTTGTTTATTATATTCTACTCGTGAAGGAGGATAGAGCCGTGGCGCTCAGATGGTTAACGCTCGTTGTGAATATAACATAACGCGAGTAACCCGGGTTCGATCCCCGCCGGCACCAATGAAATTGTTAAATGCAATTTTAAGTGCTGATTTACCACTTGCTCAGCGGTGAAGGAAAACATTGTGATGAAACCTGCATGTCTGAGGAATAAGGAAAAAATATTTTGAAGACATTTGAAGTTCGCCAACACGCATTGTGGCAGCGCGGCGGACACTTCCTTGCCCTAAAACCCTCTCAGAAATGAGGGGAGGCCTGTGCCCCGCTGTGGGACGTATATAGGCTGTAACTTTACTTTACTTTTAACTGTGTGAAGGATCAAGTATTACGCGAATCATACGATTTTATTCCAAAAATATATGCTATAATAAAATAAACTACAATATTTATCATTTAAAAATTAACTACAAATTTAACTTTATTTTATCATTATTTTACAAATTTAACTTTATTTTAACATGACAACTTGACGGAACATGACAGAGAAGGGGAAGTTGTTCCGCAAAGCTTGATAGCTTCACAAAGCATAAACCGTGATGGGCTCTTAATTAGTTCAATTAACATCTAATGAAGAATCATCTTAAGATTTGAATACGCCGCTAGATAGGCCCAAATGCAAAGTTTAACAGACTTAATTTCCCGACCAACAACTCGTGTGTCTTTATAACGTGATATTTATCTTAATTTCTGTCACATTCATTATTTTTCTTCGATAAATCTTTCATTGTACCTACTCAGAAATCATTTCCTAAATATTTACTGCATTTTCAAAAGCAGTTGAGATATTTCGAGATAGGTCGAAAATCAAAATTATGGTAATCTACACGTTATTAATCCCGTTCATAGCGATACACAATTTAAATTTTTAAATAAATTGTATTAGTATGTTTATATTAATCATGTACACCTGCTTTTTGTGATCGTGACTTTTATGAAAGGTTAATTTAATGGACGAACAAATAATTGCGAAGAAATTTAAAATCAACAATGAATTTTTAAACCTAGTTTAAAAACCTAGACATTTAATATCTGTTACAGCGCATGATACTCAGCCACTAGTGGTAGAAAACTTCACCAGCTCGTCACTTCATGATTAATGTGAATCCTAATGTGACGTTACTTGGAGTAGAAAGCGAGAATTACCCCTTGATATCATCATCCTTATAGTACTCATCCTTTCTTATGATATAAATTCGCTTTACAGTTTTTCGCCCCTCACTATAATTATCTTTTCAGCCCATCATTGCCCCAAAGTACGGTTCTAAGCCACTACTTGCATGCATCGACTACCAGTAGGTACATTGTCACTAACAACACACAAATGATACCATTTGAATGATTGGCGGTCCATCACTGTGAAATTTATCAGAAGCTTTTTTCCTTGCACAATTTCTTTGCAGAATCAGCTATCACCAACGATTTTTCTGGACCGTAAGACTTAAGGATCTTCAAAAAAGAACTTATACTCTTTTAAAAAGGTCGGCACTAAACCTACTTTACATTAGTGATGCAGTTGTTCATGGCCTGCGATAGTCACTTACCATCAAGTGAGCCGCATGCTCGTTTCCCTCTCTTCTTTAAAAATATTGTTCATTCAAGACAAAATTCAAAAAGTAATATACAAGCACACTACGTACCATGCAATTGATAGCTGTGAATCTTAAGCACAGCCTCGTTCACATTAGTTCTAATGTGGGCTAAGATGGAATACTTTGTTGCAAATAATTTCTCGTTGCTTTCTTGAAGTGTTTTGTGAGCGCATGTACAATTCTCCGCCTATCCAGCCCATTCAATTCCTATAAAGCGCTCAACATCACAACCAGGTATAACCATTTCTATAATTGGTATAATTGTACAATACACAGTTTTTCTGTTAATAATGTCTTATTATTTCATAATTTTGTACAAAATCATACGCATTTTATATAAATAGCGGTCGAAGTTAATTAATTAGGATTTCATTTTCCTTTCTAAATAAAATACTAATGTCAAAGTCTGTGTAACGCAGTTCTGTTAAGAGCGGTTACCTACCTTAGGTATGGTTGAATGTCGAGTGATTTCTCAATGCGGGCTTGATAATTAAATCTCGCTCTAATTGGGCTGGGGTCGATATCATTGACACTCGTGCAACATTTTCAATCAATATTTCATAAAGTCGTTATCCTGTCATACCCATATGCCATCCGCTGCTCAGATAAAGGTCGTTATCTTGCTAATAAAAAATACAATATGTTAAATTTAATACAACGCCCACTAGGTAATAATAGGTGATAAAATATTTTGTACCAACGTCTCGTTTGTCGTGATGTCACAACATAAGCGAATCATCATCATCACACCATTTCTTCCCGTGGGTGTCAAAGGAGACTTCAAAGGAGGTTCTCTAGGCGAAGGTGATCCTTACCTGATGGAGTGACAACCTGATAAGATATGCAGGTAGTTGAAGGAAGCAGGTGACCCAGGTCCAATTTATATATTAGTTTCGAAATTTTAATAAGGTTTAAATTTTTCTTAATAAAATATGATGTGAACCTATCTATAATATTGATGACTTAGTTAAATGGATCTGTGGGGTTTTGACAAGCAATTTGACCGACCATTGTTCGCTCAAATTTTTCGTAATTTTCCGCTAGAGCGTTGAAATGAGAAAAAAAAACACATTTTTAACGGTCCCTTCCTGGTCTTTATTCAAAAAGGTATGAACTTTCAAAACCAGAATTTGAATTCAGTTCAGTTGCTTCAATATAAACATTTTTCAAAAAAAGTTAGATTACGGTATGAAATATAACAGATATTTTATTTGAATTGTTGAAAAAATATAAAAAAATAATAATATGAAGACTTATTTTGTAATCTATCAGTAGCTCCTTTTTGCGTCAGTATTAAAACTTTTATTTAATTTTATTACCATATATTTTATATTTAAATTTCTAATACATTTTGTCTAAACGTTATTGTATTTTAGTGTCTATCAATCGGTTTATGATTTATAAATATTTCATGTTAAGGAAAGTTAAATTAATTTATTTCTTTTTATTCTAATACACAAGGAAATAAATCACCGAATTTATTTATTCCTTTGTGTAAAAGCCGGAGACTAACCGCACGCCAAAAATATCACACGGTACGCGAGCAACCCGAGTTCAATCCCATAGGCAAAATAAAAACACAGCGGGTATTACAATTGAATTATTAAAAATTCGCTAACGTAATTTTTTGGTAGAATGTGAGAAGTCACTTAACGTTTTACATATTAGAGTACTAAGTGTATGAAAGTGATGGTAATGTTCTTTCAGCTGAAAATTATGCGTCATAAGGCCTTCAAAGGGCTTTATTATATGTTGAAGAACGCAAAGCGGGAAATCATATTGAATCAAATGAAATAATTATCTATTCAGACTTAGTTCTTCCTTATCAGTAAAAGTTTAATGATACACATCTGGTGTCCCTTCAGAGAAGATTTGTTTTAATCGTCACGCTTAGCAGGCGAATTGACTGATAATTTGACACTACTTCCGGTCGCTGGTGTGGGTGTTTTACGCCTTGCGTAATCGAGAATTCTATAGGGCCATCTATTAGAAGCCATAAGATCTTTTTGACGTATCCCATAGACCCATAGAACGAAATGGGTTGACAGATTCTCTTTGATCTATTCCTATATTTACTTAAACACTCATTTTCATTATCATTTTATTAAAAGTTTCTAGCCATGTAGTCGTTCAAGTAACTAAGACAAAATGAATCAATGACACCAAAAAATGTGAGTGATAATAATATTAAGTGTGTTTACTTCAATGACTAGATGAAAATGTTAGCTTGTGTGTGTCAACCTATGGAGACAGCTTTATTATTTAACGGAGGACCACCTGTCACTATGGGGCCACTTGGAACCAGTGGTAAAATGCGTCACAACACGTCCAATGTTATAAAGGCAATTCAAATGCTGCCTAAATCAGAACATCGCTTTAGTATAGACGAAAAGGATAATCCTGTTTCCTTAACTTCGCTATCATCATTAATGGACTCGTCAGGAAGCCTTCTTAATCTGAGAAAAATTGAGCGCAAAGCAAAGTCAACAAAAATATTAGTGAATCCCGTATGTTTGGATAGTGTAAGCAGCGGTGATGATAATAATCAATCGAAAACAGCTATGTCTAAATGGAATGGTAAAAAGAAACGGTTGAAGTCAACAAAAGATAGTAAAAAAGATGAAACCGAATCAAATGATTCAGAGAATCATTATGAGGCTAAGAAAGATAAAGAAACGGTATCTTGCTTCAAAATCAAAAGTTCAAACGATAAAACACACGACATTACAAAAGGAAATGAATGCTGCACGGATAAAAAAACATCTGACAACACCAAGCCTAATAAATCGGACGTAACAAACCATACAATCAAAAATAATAGCGTTATATTGATCAACAAAGGCACATTAGGTGATACTAAGACAGTTAAAAATGAACAATTAATTATAGAGAAGACTGATCGCGCAGCAGTGGACCATAGTAATGAGGTAAGTCCTTTGGAACACATTTTCATTAGACGTTAACACTTATCTTGTTAGTTTGTTACGGTCTGATTATTTTGCATCTAGAATGTACCGAATATTACTAATCTACTAGAAAACATCTGACCTTTCTGCCATTTTTATATTCCTTGCAATACCCACGTCTTGAAAAGAAATACATTGCTGGATTCTCTTACACTGCTATCATACGGCGTATACGTCCTTCTGGTGGCCTCGTGGTAGTCTAAATTAGATTGTAATTAACTGTTTTTTTTATATTTTTGTATTAAGAGTTGTATTTAACTTTCATCTGCACATTAATAAGACTATTGAAAAAGGAACATTTGATATTACACAAAATTCACAGCAGCATAGCTCATTCAGTAAATCTGTCAGTGATTATAATTATTAGTAAAATATAAATTATTATATTATTTAATAATTATTATTACTAGGCAGTATTGTAGAATTCTTTGGTGACAATTTCTTATCTGTGTGATTGTTTGACCAGTTTTCCTAACATTATATATGTTACAAAAACATAATACAAAAAATTTACTTTCTGCACTTTTCCATATAAACTTTAACTGCTTATTCCAAATCTCACACCCCCTGTATGCGCAATATGCTTAAAAAGGGGGTACAAAAAGAGGTACAAATCTTCACGTATATAAGATTATATATTGACCACATATTAGTAAAAACATAAAGCTCTTCAGAAGTCCACTGCTGAACATAGGCCTCCTCCAAGGTATGCCACAAAGCACGGTCCTGAGCCACCTGCATCCACCGATTTCCTGCATGTCTTACCAGGTCGTCACTATTAAGAAAAAAAAACATTATACAGTAAAATAATTGCTAAAGTGTGTAATAATTATTATACATATTTTATTATCATTGTTAACGACTTGATCGATGTATTCAGATTTACTTAATTATCAAAATAATTTCAATCGTAACTATATTGTATTGATCTTCAATTTGAATGTGTTAATTGAACTTCACCCATGTATCGTTACATATGTTTTCTGTGACGACTACCAATTTTACATTTAGATTCAACAACTCATTTAAATCGACTCTAAATGAGATATAATTAATGATTTCTTAAATTTACGCAAACACTACACATTGAAACACTACTTCTACCGATTTTATTGTGTTAAATTTACTTAATTTTAATTCCCGACGTTGTGTTTTACGTCAGATGTATGTTCTTATATATGTTCTGTGTTACGCTGTTTTTTATTGATCTTTTTATTTACGCTATATAAGAGAGAACACATTCACAATGTAGCTAGTACACACCTGCATCTTGTAGAGGTATATTACACTTAACGAATGGTAAGACTGACTAATCTTCTTCGGCGGCTTGTAGAATTTTCTTATAGAAGCTCTTTAAGATGTAGTCAATCTGGTCTGTGACTCCTATGACATATGATAACATATCAGGCACACGCTCGACTGTGGCCGGCTTCACTCGGTCACTGTGACGGAGGCGCGGGATAGAACTCTTCCTTCCACATAAGATAGCCAGATGTAAGGCAATTTTTCAGTAATACTGCATATTCTGCAGGTATGTTGTTTTCTTCTAGCTTCCTAGTTACAATTGAGATAGAGTCTTCAGTAGGTAGGCATGTAAATAGAAACTGTACATCAATAGTAATGCTGAAGATACTCTGTCTTAACTTTGACATCGGAACGTCAAATTAACTCAACGTCCCTCGTGACCATGGGTGCTGAAAAGCACTCGAAACTTCGGGAACTAAAATTAAGCAAATTAAACGCGGTAAAATCGTAAAAATAGTCTTATGCAATGAGCTGTAATTATTAAAAATAATGTTTCTTACAGTTCATAAAGAACTCACCAGGAAAATTAATTCACGCATTATGCGATAAATTTTTAGGGCGTACCGAAATAATAGATAATTATGTTCACCTGGTTTATAGAGCACGATTTTCAATTCAAAGATTCCGTAATTTAAATTTTTTTAATTCTTAGTTATAACAAGTATTTTGCAATTAATTTCAATTCAATGGGTATACAAAATATAAATTGTTTTGCAAATGCTGTGATGTGAAAAAGAACAAAGCAATGAAGTTACAGTGCGGCGGTTGAGCGCCAAACGAGTTTACATAGTAAAATAGCCTCTAAAACAAAGTTAACACCTCTCTCCTGTGGTTAAAATAGTCCCTGAAGAAAGTAGTTTTAGAAAATCGAATAAGTGTTCAATCCTTGTTCACAAGTAAATGTATGTAAAGAACTGGTTTTTCCATTTTAACATACTTTACTTGGTTCTTGATATTTGATACTTTACTTGGTACCGTGTAGTAGCGGTGTTAGAATATCTACTACCCCATATCATCCAGTATGTATAACGTAAGAAGTGACAGAGAAAAACGAATCAGGCGATGAGCAGCTGCGTATTCCTAGTAACGACTAAAATAAAAAACTGCGGTTGCCAACCCGCTTGCCAAGCGTGGCAACTATGGTAAATATACAGGGCAATATATGGGGGAGGCCTATGTACACCTGTGGACTTTAATAAGCTGTAACGGTGTGACTTGGTACTTAAATAGTTTTAAACATTCTTTGGTATTATTTACTGTAGAAGTTATTTTAACCATTTAAATAATTATCCATCCCCGTCCGTCCCGTAACTACTTCTATTCATACCCACATGTTGAACATTTACAAGGGTAGCTCTACAGATTATGATGTGATCGAGTAGTAACTAGAAGGATATCGTTATTAACCTCATTTTAATGGTTATTCAGTTTTTTTTCAATTTAAAACTGATTTAGAAACACAAAACAAACTTGATCAAAAAAAATTCCTGACAGAATTATGCGCAAATTGCTCGAATCCTGGAGATGATAGATAGCCCTTGAAGGCAATTTATTCATCTTTATTTAAAGTTGCTCGCAATTGTTAAGCCAGATAAATCTTTCACTTAATGTTCCCACAAAAGTCCACTGCGGAATAAGGTGCCTTTAGAAGGCGACAAAGCATGGTTCTGAGCTACCTGCTCAATAGACTTTCAGACTTCCACATCAGATCTTAAGTTCATCTAGCCGTCATTTGAGAGAGTAATATATAACAGTGTGTTACTTACAGAAGTTTTTGCGTTATAATTAGGTCATTGCTCTACCAATAAATACATATAACAAATATAACAAACCAGTAATCAGAAAATATTATTACAGAAGTAAGACAGCGCCATCTAGTAGTAAAAAAGGAAACCATAGTTATGGAACAAATAATTAATACTTTATCTTTGATCCAGCAGTTTTACTTATTTTCCCATATTTAGACGCGCTATGTCATCAATAAATGAATTTCCCTTTTAAGGGGTTATTATTTTCAGCAATGCAAGCTGTGAGTTGGATACCTACGTCAGCCGATTATTCCGTTTTTTCTTTTATATTAGTAGATTTTTTATATTATCACGTAATAAAGAGCTAAGCATATTATCTACAATGTTGTCAGATAATATGCCAGGCCTACCAATTAGTAATGAATAAACATGAGCCCGCAGCGGGCACTGAGCAAACTTCGTAAACGATTGAAGCCGCACTAACTTAATCCTCCATGCATTGCATTGTATACTCTAGTACATTTCGCATGCATGGATGTTGAAGTTTAATATTATTTTAATATGTTTTAGAAGATTTCCTTCGTTCGAAAATCCGTGAATATGAACCCACAACCCAACAGACTAGTAATGGTAAATAATATTACCAACGGGAGGACCTCGATCTGTATTCGCATTTTTTATTCCTGCTCCATTTATTTATTCTTTATTGTATTCCTTATTAATATACAAGAATATAATATAAGGGTGGACTTAATTCCTTGAGGCATTCTCTACCAGTCAACCTATGGTGTGGTAAGAATTTGACGTAAGTATGGCAATATAGTATACAAATAAAATAAAAATGAGAGTTAACTACGTAATATATACATTTTACTGATATATAAAATAAATAAACTATAGAACTATCTCCCATTTATACATATATACAAATGCAAGTGCAAGTACACTTACACAGCTAATTTGTCTTTTATGTTCTTTCGCCTTTTATGTAACTTGATTTAATTAAATCCTTTTCTATACTGTTATTATCAGCTAGTTTGTCCATTTATATTAAACATAGAACTAATACATTAATTTAAAATGTTCCTGCAGACAAACTGTGTAAGCAGTTTTGCGGCAATGTGTATATTTAAAAACCAAATTTTGTATTTTTAAGAATAAATTTAAAAAAATATATTTTTATGTAAAATTGAATAAAATTTAAATTTAATAAAATACAAATTATATCAAGTTATCATAGGCATTCCCTCTTTATATTACGCTTTAACGTCTACTTAGGTACTTACTTAAGATATTAATCCGATTTCATTTCATACACAACGTTAAAGGGTAACCAAACTGTATGTGTAAATCTTTACAGAGTACACGCGTTTAAGCATCTAGAAAACCTAAATTTTAATGCCAGTCATCAGTCATTAAAAGCCAGTTTACATCTGTTATGTTATAAAAAAAAATGCAGAATTCATCCAAGCACCATAAATTATTAATTATATTTTAGCATTCATTAATGACAAATTATTGAAATTCTTAAATTGAACTTTGCATACAATTAGTCTGCACTAATGAAAAAACTAATTCATCAAATATAAGTCTGAGCACCTGAGCCAAAGTTTGCTCGCCGTTAGAAATAAAAACCAAAGTACCTAGATAAACATTAACTAAATAGAAAATTTTATCCAAATCGAGAGCTCTTTAGATCCTTTTCCAAGAAGATTGCCTTTTCATTTCTACTTCTTATATTACACAAGAATTGCAAACTGAAGGTATTAGAGCCCGTCCCCAGTTGTCGGGTGTCGGGCCTGACTGAAATTCGGCTGCTCTAGTGGCAGAACATTTTATATGATTCTTTTCACACTTACACCGACACCGTATTTTTTGGTGCTGACAAGAAATGTCGGGTGTTTTGCCAACCCTCTCCGTATCCGTAAAAAATCGCGTCGGATC